AAAATAAAATAAAATAAAATAAAATAAAATAAAATAAAATAAAATAAAATAAAATAAAAGGAAAGAAGAAATAGAAAGAGCCAGGTGGGAGCTCGCTCAAGTCAGTGTGTGTGTGTGTGTGTGTGTGTGTGTGTGTGTGTGTGTGTGTGTATCTGGAACTATAGACAATTTGCAGTGGCCCGAGGTGGGTGCTGGCATAGCAGCAAACTTCCTAACTGTTATTCTCCACCTCTCAGTCTTTTTTTTTATTTTTAGAAAACACATTTATTTATCAGAAACCAATTGATATCTTCTTAAACAAATCCCTATGAAAAGGTATTCCCAGAAATACAATACAGATGGAGACTTTAACTACTCAACTGTTGTACTGTTTCTGTATTTAGTTTGAGGAATAGAAAAAAAGAAAGAAAGAAGAAAGGTGTTAAAATGCTGAAGGAGTGTGACTCTGACACAGCCTAGAATCCTCATTGTGTTTTGTACTGCTGCCCTCCAGATGAACATGCTTCAAAGATACCAGAGAGACAGCATCTCCTGGGTGCCTGCCACTTTAAAGATGGTAGCTTGTGTCCAGTTCCTCCCCTGGAAGGTCACCTGTGGCCCCTGAAACCCCGCCTCTATTCTCTTACCATCTCTAGGTCCTTGCTGAGGGCTGGCAGGTTCCTAAATCTCGTTACCCAAACTACCTCCTCCTAGGGCAATGGTTCTCAATCTTTGTAACACTGTGGCCCTTTAATACAGTTCCTCATGTTTTGGTGATGCCCAACCATAAAATTACTTTCATTACTACTTCATAACTGTAATTTTGCTACTGTTATGAATCATAATGTAAATATCTGATATGCAGGATATCTGATATGAGACCCTTGTGAACAGATTGCCCAACCATTAAAGGGGCCGTGACCCATAGGTTGAGAACCACTGTTCTAGGACTTCTGTTGTCTGAAACCAGATGAGAGACAAGGAACCAAGCTTACTGACACCACTGGCCTGCCCTGAGCATGAGACAGGCAAGGGACAGAAAACAAGATCCAGGGTGTGGATTCAGAATGGCAGTAGAAACCCTGTCCTCTGCCCCCTGAGTGGTAGCAACACAATCTGCAGGTCTCCATTGCTGGTAGCTGGACAGTCTTCTTAGTCAGCTAGCTCCCATCCTCCTCATGTGTCTATCATGGTAAGCTGGCCTTTGAGGGCCAGCTCCTCAGTGTGTGGTGTAGGCGAAGGGACCTTTGTCTCCTGACAGTAAGTCCCCCATTCCCTTCATGGGACATAGCCTGGTCCAGAGAGTGTGCACTCACCTGGGCAGGCTTGATCACCACGGTGTTCCCAGCAGCCAGGCAGGCTGCGGTCTTCCAGGACAGCATCATTAAGGGATAGTTCCAGGGAATGACAATGCCACAGACCCTGCAAACAAAAGCAAGAGGGCTTTTGTCCCTTCTCAGACAGACTACCCAGAGTGGACCTGCCAACTCCAGCCCCTAACCCAGGACTGGTTTCCAATGCCAAAGCTTTCCAGGAAAGGCAATGGTCCTGCTGAGGTAGCCCATGCCTCCGATCCTGAGGTGCAGACTGGCTGGGATGGAGGTCAGTGTCTGAGGGGAGCTGTCTAGGGAGGCAGAGAAGTAAGGGTGGGTGGGTACAGTGAGCAGACACTGGTGTGCCTGGGGAGGTCAGTCATCCCTGGGAACGTCTGGCTCGGTGTGTGAGCCCTCATACTCAGACCAGAGGTAGCATAGACTCAGGGGTGGGTGGGCAGCATCTATGCTGGCCGCAGCCTAATCCTGTGTGGCTCTGCCTCTCTTGACTTCTGTGTCACCAACAGAGGACCAGAACGGAGTTTTCTTAGTTGAGCCTGGGTATTGAGAAAGCACAGGCAAAGAGGCCAGTGGACAGGATGGCTGTGAGGTATCTCAAGGGAGGGATGGTAAGTATCAGGCAATCCCTGCATGGAAGAGGGCCAATCGAGAGCCTGTGCATCACCCTGGGAATGGTAGAACACACTGGGGGGTAGGAGGCTGCACCCCTCTGTCCAACATACACCCAACATAATAAAGGGTCTAGGTGGGTAGCAGAGAGTAGAGCCTGAAGCTGCTGGATGCTGGCCATGGGGTTTTAGACGATCCAAAGAAGGAAAACATCGGAAGAGTCCCCTTACCGTAGGGTGAATTGAGTCCCCTCCCCAGACCCACACCTCTAGGGAATACGACATGGCCATGGAGACAGAGGTCAGGGTGACAGTTCTGTAATAAATGCCAAGGGCTGTCAGCAGCCACCAGCATGCCATGCACACTTGCATCACACACGTCCCTGGAGGGTTCCTGGCTGCCAGGAGGTGAGCAGCCTCCTGTGCCATGTGCTTCCGCTGTGCTGCACCTGCGCCATGTGCTTCCGCTGTGCTGCAGTGCAGCCACAGGCCCGAAGCAACAGGCCCAAGCGGCCATGTGCCTCAGAGCCACGGGAACGGCAAAGCCTCCCCCTCATTTGTGTGTAGATGTTGACAGTGCATGCACAAATGTCAACTATGCCTCCCTCTTCTAGGATCTGTACAACCAGAGGCTGCTCCCCACAGAGACCCCACCTCCTACTGAGATGAGCTAACCCTCCTCATTCAGCTGTATATAATGAACCCACCTCCTAGATTCAGATACAGAAAATAAATACACCGAGTTTCTGACTTGCCATCGGCATGTCTCTATCAAAGCACAAGGCTCACTCAATCCCAGCATATCTATATGTGTGCTGCCATTTCTTCATTCCCTGTTACCCCACTTAGGTCAATCCCCAAGCCATGCAGGTCATGGCCGTTCTTAGTGGCCACTCTTGGTAGGCCTCTTGCCTTTGGTTTACCCATGATACCAGCTGTCTTACAGTATCTGAATCCTCTTTTTCTCTCTCTTTCTGTTCCTCCCTCTCTCCCCCCTTCCTTCCCTATCTCCCTCTCCCTCCCTCCCTCTCTCCCTCCCTCCCTCCCTCTCTTCTTCCCTCCCTCTCTCCTCCCTCTCTCTCTCCTTTCCTCCCTCTCTCCTCCTTCCATCTCTCTTTCTCTCCCTCCCTCCCTCTCTCCCTCTCCTTTCTTCCCTCTCTCCCTCCATCTATCTCTCCTTTCCTCCCTCTCTCTTCCCTCCCTCTCCCCTCCCTCCCTCCCTCCCTCCCTCCCTCCCTCCCTCCCCCCTTCCTCCCTCCTTCCATCCCTCCCTCCTTTTTCCTCCCTCCCATTTAGGGGCTTCAGGAGAATGTGTTAAGACCACGGCATTTTAAGTGTTTTGGATGCAGTCTGCTCCTACAGAGCCACACGCAGGCCCTATGCAAGCTCCCAAGTCCCCCATACACTTGTGAGGGATTTGTCTGTGACACAGGACTCCAAATGCTTATGGCCAAGATCCCATCTATCCCAGCATTCTTTCTCTTTTCCGCTGTGCCCTGAGGCTCTCTGCGGGTGAGATGGTCTGCCTTTGCATTTCCCCTACTGAGTTCTGCCCTGCACTGTCATCATGGTTAACCTTGGCTCTAACTTTGGGAACTGAGTAGGGAGGCCACTCCTTGAATGTGGGTGGCAGCATCCACTAGGCTGGAGGCCTGGATGGAGCAATCAGCAGAACACAGAGCTGCTCACATGTGTCACACTCTATTCTTCAGCAGGACCACCCATGACATCAGACTCCAGATTCTTCAGCCTTGGAACCCAGAGTCACCCCAGTGCCTCTCCAGAGAGAGTTCAGGCCTTCAGCCTTGGAATGGGCTGTGCCATGTGTCACTCTTGTTTTGAACCGTCCAGCTTCTCAGACTGAGTGGCTGTCACCCCAGCTTGCAGGTGGTCATCTGGCTACGGGGCCTCTGATGGTGGAGGCCAAACCACCTGGTCTTTTAATTATAGGTACATTCTGCTGGCTCACTCCTCTGGCTAACACTGACTCATTTGTATGGACACAGTTGCTTTGCAATCATTTTGGATGTAGTCCCCCTACCCCAGTTTACTCTCATGACTCTGACTGACAGTTACTGTGCATTTAAATAATGACACAGGTAGACAGAGCAGGTACTTTACATATGAATGGCACAGACATCCATGGATATATGCAGAGGATGTTACAAGCTGCAGGCTGGCATGTGGTACCCAGAACATGCCAGCACACCTGTGGCTTGTCACTCACCCAACAGGTTCCTTCTTGGTCAAGGTCAGGTTGCGGTTGGGTCTAGCCTGATTGATGGGGATGGTGGCACCCTAGAAGAAACATAGCAGTGTCACTAAGGTAGGGTGAGGGTGTTCCCATCCTTGGTCAGCCAGTCCCTGTGGGAGACCCAGGAGAAACAGGGTCTTGTTTAGGTCCTGATTGTCACATGATGAGCTGGGTAGGAGGCCAAAGCCGCCAGCTTACACTAGACAGGGGCATGGCAGGAGTTCAGAGGGATCAGGTTGGATGAGCAGTGGGAGCAGAGCAACAGTTCCATTTCAGGTACAGCCCTTGGACAGGAGGCTAGTCTTATCAGGGATAAGTCCTCTTGCTCTGATATCTGGGCAAAGAAAAGATAAGGAGGCCCTGGAGGAGGCCATGCTGCTTCTACAGCCATTAGTGCTGAGGGGGCCCAGAAGAGATGGCTCCAGAGAAGTCACAAGGAAGCAGAAGGTGGGATGGCAGCCCTCCTCCCACGTGGCCATCACTGCTCCACAGTTCTCAGCCCCTAGTTGGGAGGAGAGTAGCCATGAGCCTTCCCCTCCCTGGGGAACCTTCCAAGATTGAGTGCTTGATCCCAAGGCACGGTATATGCAGCATCTGTCTCCTCACAGAGGACCTTAGGAGGTGGGGAGGACCTTGCAAAGAAAGGCCTAGAGGCACCACGGGAACCCCTAGGACCACATTCCACAATTATATGACAGAGGCAGAGACCCAAAGCTCATAGAAGACATTGTCACTGGGTACTGGAGGCCTTTTGAGGATCATGGAGAGAGTCCCTTGCCTGTAGCCAACACAGACACACGCCCTGGAACCACCAGAACTGGACTTCAGCACTTCAGCAACATCTGAATGGTCCTGGCAACAGGACCACCTCAGAGCCTTAAGATAAGGCCCACCCATCAAATGCATTTGTCATAGTTGGGTTTTGAGTGTCCCTCAAAGCCCTCCATGCTAACGGCTTGTTACCCAGAAGGGCATTGCTGGGAGGTAGGGGAGTTCTTAAGAGGAGGGTGGTGGAGGTTAGGTCTTGGGGGTGTGCTTCAAGGAGCTACCCAAACTTGTCTCCTCGTCTGTAATACTCACCTCTGTGACATGAGCAGGTTTGCTCTGTCACTCACTCTTGTAATGTGCATCCACAGACTCAAGAACAGTGGAACCAACAAGTTGTACCATCCAAACTATGAGCCAAACTGTACCCATTCATCCTACAAGTTGACTCTCTAGGTATTTCTTACTGCAACAGAAACCTGAATGGCACCCTTGTGAGAAACTGGCACAAAGCTGACCAAACCTGCTGGACTCCCACCTGCAGAACCTTGATTTGCCAATGTTTTACCCACCACTGTGGTAGCTGTTGGGCAGCATGCCTGGCAGGGCACCACCCTTTGAGCCTCCTCCCCAGGAGACCGCCTGCACACATGCGAATGCACACATGGGAGATGGGAGCCCACACCCCACCTGGATCTTATCACACCAGCCAGCGAAGTATCGGAAGGTCTGGATGGACATGCCCACATGTGTCTTCAGGGCCAGGGTGTAGACGGCGCCTGCATCCAGGGCCTCAATGGTGGCTAGCTCTTCCTGGTGTTGCTCCATGAGATCTGCCAACCTAGCCAACAGCAAGAGAGAGACAGGAAACTGGTTTAGGTCTGGCACTGTCTTGCCTGCTCTTTCAATGCCATTTCTTATGGGGTCGGGGACTCTGCCCTTCACGACCAGAACTGTCACTAAGATGTGTTGGCCTCACTGTTCTCATCTGTAAGATGGGTGTGAGAATGACATCCTCTGTCCCCTCCTTTCCTCTTTGTTCCTTCCTGGATGACCCATGGATTGACAACTTTACAATGTCCTCATGAAGTTATCCTGAAGAGGTGTTCACCTGCCTATGGCTGATAGCAGAGAGGCCTCTGCCCTCGGGTACTCTTCCTGGTTTTGGATAGCTCCAAAGGAGAGAAAGTACATCCAATCCGATGGCCAGCTCAGCCCAGGAGCCATGTTCCTGAGGCTGAGGTCTGGAGGTCGAGAGGTGGCTCCAGGGGGAGGTGCTTTTCAGGTGATTGTGAATCTGCTCTGATCAGCATCTGGCTACCCTGCTCTGCTTCTGATGGCCACTGTGAGCAGCCTGGAGTTAATAACGGTGTCCCCTCACTGACAGGAGGGTCTGCTGCTAAGGGAGCAGGCTCCAGTCTTGCAGAGGGACCTGGGTCTAAGTTCTGATGTATGACTGAAGCTGTTTGGTCAGTTCCCACCCTGCCCTTCTCTGCACATGCTCCAGCTCCTCCTGACAAAGTCACTGCCAACCTCAGGTCACCCCCATCATTTCCCTCATCACTGAGGACACAGATGCCATCTATGTGTGCACGGGTTGCCCTCCAGTCCCATACCAAGTTCATTTCAGGGCTCCAGCTTCCCACTCCTTCTTGCTGGGCTTGCCTGTTATTCAAGTGACCCAGGACTCTGACCTTGGGACCTTTGCCAGGAGCACTATACCAAGATAGGGCACTCTACGGCTACCTCTTCAGAAAGACTTGCTGCCAGCCCCAGGACAAACGAGCTGACCTGAGATGAGTGCAACCATCACAGGCACACACAGCAGTGCCCCTTGGAGATGTGCTTTCCACAGTCAGTCTTAGGCCTGGCACTGTTATGGTGAGCGAACTGGGGTTATTATAACTGTGACCACTAGGTGGCAGCAGATCATCTTATGGAATATGCTTTCAGTTTAAGGCTCAAGGGAGTCTGGGGTGTCACAGCTGAGACCTTTACCAACTCTGGGAACCATGGGTCAATGGGTGACTCTTTCCCAAACTCTATGGTGTCTTCAGGGAGTCCGGACACCTCAGCAGGCAGTACATGGCTGACCTTCCCAGCCTCATCTGTCCAACTCCCCAGTCTGTACTACTTTGCACAGCAAAGGGCCCTCTCTGGTTCCCCACTGCTGCACCACCTGGACTATCTGGCTTCAGGAGCAGACAAAACCACCATTCATACTGCAGGGCCACAGTTTCCTGCCGGTCACCAGACAAACTCTGGTAGGCCTGCATCAAACCGAGCTCCACAGTGTTGAGGATCCTCTGGGACACTGAGAAAAAAGCCAAGCAGACTCTACTGGTTTCCTCTGAGACTGTTCAGCTCATCTGCCCGTTACCTCCTGCTTCTGGAAATATCACTCCCTAGGTCAGAGTGTGAGCTGAAGTTGGGGACTGGGGCGACCATTAAAGATCTTCCAAGGCAGACTGTCTGATTAAAAAGCATGATTGTGCCAGGCAGTGGTGGCGCACACCTTTAATCCCAGCACTTGGGAGGCAGAGGCAGGCGGATTTCTGAGTTCGAGGCCAGCCTGGTCTACCGAGTGAGTTCCAGGACAGCCCGGGCTACACAGAGAAACCCTGTCTCGAAAAACAAAAAGAAAAAAAAAAAGGCATGATTGTGGAGGGTTGGAATGATGCAGATCCCAAGCCCTTCACTGCCCACCTCTATCTCTGACTAACAACTCTGTGACTCTCGGGTGGAACTTTTTGAAGTATCTGAATTTATCAGACCACTAGCTCCCACCAACCCCTAAGCTGGAGGTTTAATCATTGAGCATCTGAGACTTACAGCAGAGATCCCCCGCTTTGCTGTGCCCCCAGCCGATGCTTGTACAAGCTGCTGTGAGCTTGGGTTTTATTTAATTTAAGACTTACTTATTTTTATTGTGTGTGTATGTTTGTCTGCAGGTCTGTGTGTGCGCCATGTTATGTGCAGTGCCCTCAGAGGACTCAGAGGACAAAAGAGGGGATCAGAACACGTGGAATTGGAGCTTCGGGGGTTGTGGGCTGCCACGTGGGTGCTGGGAACTGAACTGGAGTTCTCTGTAAGAGCTGCACGTGCTCCGAACAGCTGAGTCATGGGTCTGACTCTGGTCTGCATTTATAAAAATGCCTTCATTTATGGCTTTCTGCTGTGTGGCTGTAAAACCTTATGAAGGGCTCGGGGCTTAAAGTCCTTGCCATGCAAGTGTGAGGGAGTAAGTCTGGATCTCCAGAATCAACATACAGCAAGCTCCCAGCATGCCTGTGGTGAGGTGGGCAGAGGAACAGGAGAGTTCCCCGAACCTCGAGAGCCAGCTAGCCTGGCTCATGCAGCTACAAAATAACAAGAGACCCTGTGTCAAACAAGGTGGAAGACAGAGACTAACAGTTCGGGTGGTGCTCTAATTTCCACCCACGCACATGGCACACACATGAATAAGCACATACACTAGCACACATGCACAAAATATGTATACATGCACAACACTTTGTAAAAATGTACGGAACTGCTCCCGTGTTGGAACATGTCATTTGGGGCGATCTGGACCTGCATTTCCCAGCCATGAGCACTCCTGTTAGCTCATTAGCTCGAGTGTTCTTGCCACTTTGGAAGGGAGAGGCACGTTTTGCAGCAACAAGGGGGACTGTTGTGTCCACCACAGTGTGGCGCAGGCTCTAGAGGTGCAGGCTTTCATCCAGGCTCCTTTAGAGCTGCGATCTTCAATCTCAAACTCAGGCAACCAGAGATCTAAGACTGTTAGCTCACACTGCAGGCACAGGCCCCTTCCTGTTACTAAAGCACATTAGGACGAGGAAGATGTAGTCTAGCCAGAGGCTCAATGGCTAAAAGTCCTTGCCATGCAAGTCTAACAACCTGAGTGTGAGACCTGGAACCCACAATAGGAGGAGAGGACCAACTCAGGAAAGCTGGCCTCTAACGTCCATGTGCACAGTGTGGTATATGAGTGTTATGCACACACGTGCGTGCACACACATGCACACACACACACCCCACACTACACATACCCCACACATGTGTGTACACGTGCACACACACACACCATACAGAGAGTACACACCACACACATACCACATTACACATACCCCACACACACATACACACACCACATACCACACACTACACACACACAGAGCACACAATACTACACCATACATACCACAAACACACACCTCACACCACATACACACTCCCACACATACATCACACATACACCACAAATGTCACTCCCACATACACACACACCACACATATACACAGTTCATAACACACACACACACACACCACAGACCATACACTATAATTATAGCAGTTTTTAAAAATCCTGAAAGAGGAAGAACCAGAAGGTTCCCATGGCCAGCCAGGCTGCACAGTGACAAGCAGTGCCAGGCACACCTCTCCTTTGTTGTCCTCTGATCTAGGAGCCCAGAGTCCCTGCTGGCTGACATCTGAGCCATGGCTCTCAGGCACCTCAGCCTGTGGCCCCTCTGGAGCACAGTCTTGCCTCTGCAGCTTCTCACTGACCCCAGCACCTTCCCGCTAAGGTCACAGCTAGCTGTGGACACCTCACCTGCCTTTCCAAACTTTCTGCAAGAACTTTTCTAAGCCTTATGCTGCAGTGCCCAGGCTACTTCCCACTGTGGGGGACCCCAGGTATAGAGCCCTCTATAGGGGTCCCACCCTGCCCCTGCTCCTAGCTGATGGTGGTAAGGGCCGCAGGTGATTCCTAATTCTCACCTGTACAGGAGCCGGCCACGGTCACGCGCGTTTATCTTTCCCCACAGTCCGTTCTCAAAGGCCTCCTTCGCTGCCGCCACCGCCTTGTCGACATCACTCACCTGAGCCAGGGACACCTGGCAGATGACCTGTGGAAAGGACAGAGCCATGACAGCTTTCCCTGGCTCGCTGGCTTATCCTGAGGCCACTCAGAGGCAGGCATGGAGGGAAAGTTCTGCCTCTGGTGGACAGGGAAGAGAATCAGACAGCAAAGGAGGGCGGGGCCCTGAGGTCTCTGCACAGCTCTCTCACATTCCCACGGAGCCTGAAGGGACTGATTGTGAAGGGACACAGGCAGTCTAGTGCTGTTCGCAATGGCAGCTGAGATCCACAGACTCAGTGAGCTGAGGCAGAAAGGCTGTATCCATGTCTCAGTCCCATCCCTGGCCTGACATGGGAACCCCAGGGGCTGGGCAGAGAAGTGAGACCAGCATCTCCTTATAGAGTACCATGGACAGCCTTGCCCTTCCCACCCAAGGCCCCTGGGACCTGGCAGGCAGCTCTCTCCATGTCACACTTGCAAGGTTGTCATCTCGAGGGCACCTCCTGTCCTGCCAGCCCCTTGGGCTTTACTTTGTCACCTTCCCCCAGATGACCCATTTTAAGTTTCTCTATTTTCTGTGGACTGAGTGGGAACCCGCAGACGGGAGGTCATCTCCGTGCCGGGTCTTTTCTTGGGGACCCTCGTGTGTGATCTGCTGTGTGATCATACGCATTGAGCGTGACATGAGATATTCACAGCCAAGAGTGTTTGCCGCATACAGACTTCCATTCGAGGAGGACTGGCTCATGGTGGCCTCCATACAAGGGAGACGGCCGCAGCATGGAGAGAAGCAATGGATCTTAAGCAGCCTCATTCTATAAAGCAGATTCGGGTTCCTCAGTGCCTTCCTGCCCCTTCTCTCCCCTCTCCTCATTGACCTGCTCTACTCTACTCCTGTGGCCTAGGATGGAACCCTTGCACATCTGCAATAAAGACACACACATCCAGGCACAGGCCCCTGGCCACTGTCCCTAGAAGGCAGGTTGGAGGTGAGTGGAAAGAAGGGGGCTGCAGCCTGCTCACACTTCCATCCGTTGGGTTGATGGTATTGTAGGTCTTAGCGCCCTCAGCGTCCACGAACTCTCCGCCTATGAAGAGCTGGTAGGGCATTTGGAGAGTCAGCTTGTTCACTGTCTTTTCCACCTAGGAAGGAAGGGTCAGTTACAGTGGGTCCCTCACACACAGGCACCTGTGACAAATGCATGCCCAGAGACACACAGATGGATGGGACACGCCCAGAGACACACAGATGGATGGGACACGCCCAGAGACACACAGACGGATGGGAGATGCCTAGAGACACATAGACGGATGGGACATGCCCAGAGACACACAGACGGATGGGACACACCCAGAGACACACAGACGGATGGGACATGCCCAGAGACACACAGACAGATGGGGCATGCCCAGAGACACGCAGACAGATGTGTAGCCACACAGAGGCCGGAGTCCCAGGAATGGCCTAGACAGTATGGTAAGGAGGCCAGGGCTGAGTTCCAGGTCTGCCAGAGCCTCAGGAGACACAGGGCTGGGTGGGGGGATTCTTGTGGTAGCTTGCTATGAGTGGCAAGGTCCTTTTACTCTCACACATGTTGCCTGCCCCTCCTACATGGACTTCTTCACCCTGAACCCAGGAGTTCCAGAAACACCAGCCCATCCTGAAGTCTGTTCACTGGCTATTTGTCCACTATCCTATGGGTGACCTGGAATCCACCTGTACTTCCCCAGCTTTTGTTCCAAAACATGAGATGAACAAAGTACCCAGAACCCCCTCCTCTGGGGATGATAGACTGGCTAGCTGCCCTGAGGGACACTGTTCAGGAACTTTCTCATAAATGGATTTATAGTCACAGCGGCACCTCCCCTTGCACAAGCTGAACACACAGGGTCGACTGCCGTCCTCACTGGGAACAGAAGCCTCTCCTTAGAGCTTTGAAACATAGGACTTTCCCATACTCTGTGCACTGGGCAGCAGTATCTTCTGCGGGAAACGTTATCTGGGGCTGGTGAAACTGAAGGGTAAGGGCCAGGCTCCTGGCTTCCTGGTGCTCAGGTGTCTGGTGGTGTCACAGGCCCAGGGCAGCACTCACGTAGTTAATGACACACTCGTTCTCGTCGTCCTCCCCTCTCAGCTTCCTCACTAGGAGCTGAATGAAGTCCCTAAAGGTGGTGGCCATGTAAACGTCCTCATTTTCTAACTCCAGTCCGTCACACAGCTCCTTCACCTCCTCCACCAGCCTGCGGAGAGAGGACGGAGAGGCTGGCAGAGGCTCAGCAGGCCCTGTGCACCCTGTGTAAGAGGAGGTGGCCAGAATAATCACCTAGTGGGGCTCAAGAGCCTGGCCTGGGGTGGGGGCCAAGGCTGTTATTGAGGGTTGGTCTGTTGCTATGTATTGTAATGCTAAATTCTGTATCCCAAGGCCTAGTTGCCTCGAGATGAGATGAGTGAATTCTCACCTATAGCAGCTTTTGTTGTGAAAACCTTGTGCCTTAATTTTAAACTATTGGTTGAGTAAAGATGCCTACAGCCTGTAGGTGGGCAGAAGAGAGGTAGGCAGGGTTTATGTTGGTTTTCAGGTTTAGGGTTGGAGGCAGAGAGAGAGAGAGAGAGAGAGAGAGAGAGAGAGAGAGAGAGAGAGAGAGTGAGTCACCATGGGGTAGGTAGATCATGAGCTCATGGCCTTAAGAGCTGGCCTGTTGGAGCAGGAATAGTCCAAGCGGGCAAGTTTTACCTCGGGGTTATTGACAGGGAAGTAGATAAGATAGCACAGAGGGCTGAGGTTTGCCCAGCTCTAGTGCTTTAAAGATTATTATAAAAACAAAGGCTTTGTGTCTTTTATTTGGGAGCTGAACGATCAAAGGTGGGACTGAAACCCCCAAATAATGTTTACTGCAGCAGGCTGTGGATGCAGAAGGCCTATGTTTCAAACTCTCTCTATTGAGTACTAACCAGGTACTAACCAGGTACTAACCAGGTACTAACTAGTGATGTTGAACAAATGGCTGACTCATTTATGCCTTCAATTTTGTCATTCTTAAAACAGAAACAATAGAATAGAACAGCTCTCTCAAATTTTGTTGTGACTCTATAAGAGAACACAACGACAGCAGTAACAGGTTAATAATAACCTTCAAAGGACACAGATTGGGAGGAAGTATGCCCAAATCAAGTATATGAGAAAGGGCTTGGCTTCAGGATATTTAGAGAACCCAAACCTCAGGAAACAAAACTCAGGTAGAAATGGGCTAAGCCCAGAGCGATATTTTACCAGAGCAGTAGCAGGGGGCAGATATGAACCCAGTGAAGTACTCAAAGCCATTACGAGAACGTGAGCAACAAGAAGCCAGGTGAACACACTTAGGAGAGTGTTTAAAAAGACGAGGCCTGCTGGGCAGTGGTGGTGCACGCCTTTAATCCCAGCACTTGGGAGGCAGAGGCAGGCAGATTTCTGAGTTTGAGACCAGCCTGGTCTACAGAGTGAGTTCCAGGATAGCCAGGGCTATACGGATAAACCCTGTCTTGAAAAAACAAAAAACCAAAAAAAAAAAAAAAAAAAGAAAAAAGAAAGAAAGAAAGAAAAGATAAGGCCTAGGCCAGGATGCAGCTGGGGGTAGGGTGGGGTGAGTATTCTGCTTTAGGACTTGGGTTCCCTCCTCAGCATCCTGGGTCATTGGGTAGTTTTGTGTTTGTCTGTGTCAATCTGATGACACAAGCTACATTTGGTAGTGACTTGAATGACATGCATCCTCTATTGTCTCCCACATTCGGATACTTGGTCCCCAGTTGGTGGAGCTATTTGGGGAGGGCTAGGAAGTGTGGCCTTGTCGAAGGAGGTATGGCGCAGGCTTTGAGGTTTCAAAAGACTCTAGCCGTCTCTGCTTCCTGTTTACAGTTTGAGATGTGAGTTCTCTCTTCACAGTTACTGCCACCATGCCTCTGTTCAGCTGCTGAGGACTATCATCCCTCTGGTACTGAAGCCCAAAAGAAACTTCCCTTCTATAAGTTGCCTTGGTCATGGTGTTTGATCACAGCAACAGAAAACCAGCCAATACTCTGGGAAGAAGAACCTCAACTGAGACAATTCCTCCCTCAGATTGGCCTGGAGGCAAGTCTGTGTGGTGTTTCCTTGTTTAAAAACTGATGCTTGAGAGCCTAGCCCACTGCAGGATGTGCCGCCCCTGGGCAGGTGGGCCTGGGCAATGGAGAGCAGGCTGAGCAAACCATGGAGAGCAGTGGCCCCATGTAGCCTCTGCTTCATCCCGTTCTTGCCTCCTGGCTCCTGCTTCCCAGTTCCTGCCTCCTGGTTCCTGCCTTGAGTTCCTGCCTCCCGGCTCCTGCCTCCCGGCTCCTGCCTCCCGGCTCCTG